GCCCCGAGTCCCGGTGCGGGTCGGGCCGCGGCACAGACGGCCCCCGAAGCCGCGGTTCTGGGCGATCGGGTTGCGCCGGAGCGGCCGTGGAAGTGACAGATAGACTGGAAGACGGGAAGAGGGGAGGGAGCGGGAGGAAGGGCCGGAGAGGCGGGGCCAAGTCGGCGAGGCGGTGGTGCCCAGATGTCTGAACAGATTAGGAGACCCAGGTTTTCTGATTCCTTGGAGGCAGCCGGGCACGTGTGCTACTAGGCAATCCTTACCTACTTTCCTTAATTATTTCCGCCACTCCAGCAGGATTCTGCTGAGCGCCTCTCCTTCGCCGAGAAGCTGGCGTTTCTCTCCATCACTCCTTGCAGCCACTCAAGTTCCAGAGCACCCCCTGCAGGCCCGGGCTCCTCCTGAGCGCTACCAGAGGCGCCTGTGACTGCTTTCGGGAAAACCACTGCCCGCCTGCCCGCAGACGACCTCAGCTCACCGTGCACGCTCATCTCACCCGCTAAGTAATCGTAGCCATCTCGGGGACTTTCAGCAACTCGGTACAAATGTGTTTCTCTCGCCCAGAAGTCTCTCCCCGCATGCCAGGATAGACAGCCAACCCCAGTCTCCACTTGGGCGGCTAATAGCTATCTCAAACCCGACGTCCCCAAACACTAGATTTTTCATCTTCTGTGTAAAAGCAGATCCTCGCTCGCACAGCACAGCCTTTCCCATCTCTGTTGACGGAGCCAAAAAACCTGCCATCATTCTTGGCTCCTTTCTCCCACCCTCCCACATCTAGGCCTTCAGGAAATGGGGTTGGCGCTGCCTTCAGAGTCATCCCAAATGTGACCACGTCGCAGTTTCTCCTCTCAGCCCCCAATTTCTTCTTTCACCAGGGTGGCTGCAATAGCTGGTCTATCCTCCCCCCACCACCACCACCCTTCCTCAACAGAGTAGCCATCTACTCAGAATGTCGTATCACAGTGCTCTGCTCAAAATCCTCCAAGTTTTCCCCATTGCGCATGGTAAAAGCCAAGGTTCTTACAGTTGGCGGTAGAAACCCACCAGGGACAGCCATACTCAGCTTCTCTTAGGTCACCTCTCGCTCTCCCACTTGCTCCAGTAACACTCACTCCCTTTTGGTTCTCCCAACACTGCAGAAATGACCCCTCTGTGTGTGTGCACCTGCACACACACGTGTGTGTGTGTGTGTGTGTGAGAGAGAGAGAGATACCATGAGTCCTCTTCTCTGGCCACCCCCACTACTAGGACACTCTCCTCCGACATCCACTTGAGGAATTCCCTGCACTTCCTTCAAGACTGTTCAAATCTCACTTTCCCAGTGAACCTGGCTCTGAATACCCAATTTTATACTGCACCCTACCCATGCCACCCAGTCCTCCTCTCCCCCCCTTTCTCTACTTTTTCCATTGTATGTAAACCCCACAAAAAACCACACACTCTGTACTTCAATCGGTTGTTCGCAGTCTGTATCCCCCAGTAACATGTAAAGTCCATGAAGGCAGGGATCTTTGTCTTTTTGGTTCACCAGTATATCCCAAGTGCATAAACAGTAGGCATATAATAGATACGTTCAAGGAAAAGTTTAAAGAAAGAGGCAGGAGATACATTGGAGGTGGTTTTAAAATGCTACAGTTCAATGCATCGAAAAGCTTCCCTGTGTCCCCTGGCTGATATCTGAAACCTCACTCCTGCTTCATTCCTTTGGCTGATGGTCTTGGCCCCAGTTTAAAATGCAAGTGCCCCTGGGAAAGGTATTAAGCTTAAACGTTGTCTTTATTCTACCGTGGACTGCGGTCCAAATTTTGCTGTTACAAGAAAATCTGGCTACTTTACCATTCTGATGTGTCCATGCTCAATTTTCAACCTAATAGAGAAAAATCAGAAATGGCACAGATCCGAGTATCCTTCCATTTAGCTCCAGGATGCTTCGTAGATCCGTGTTTCAAGAAGCCAGCCGGCGTCCTTGATTGTTTAAACTACTGTTAATATTGGCCTGCATCCCTTGCACACTGGACTACAGGAGTGGTAATAACAAGTAACATTTTGAGGGCTTCTACTGTGGCTTGTAATGTGCTTTACAGACGTTCCTCATTTAATTCTCAGCACCACCCAATAAGGTAAATATCACTGTTGATATTATCCCAATTCCATGGGCATGAAAACTGAGACTTCAGTTAAATGTGCAGAGTCACCCAGCTGGTAAACTAAGAAGCTTGGACCTCCAGGACTGTCTGACTCCAAACTCAGGTCAGATCAGCGTCCTACTAGAGCTGGAGTGACTGGATGAACTGAAGGCAAAGGAGGGGAATGCACAGTTCAAAAGACAGCAAAATGTTACAAAATGTGCCACAGAGAACCCACAAAGAGCTAGCCGGTTGAGAGCAGTGTATCGAGTTAGGGGGGGTCACATGCTGGATTTATAAGCAGACTTTGCTAAAGGTAGGCACTGTATAAATCTAGCATGTAAATATTACTTTTATGCTGCTTCAGTTTCATTTTTCACTTCTCTTTTCAACTGTAAAAATGTGTTCTTTCCTTTCCAGAAAAGGGTATTTCCTAAATATTTGGTCTTGCAACGTACGCCCATATCTCAGCTCCTAACTTTGGAACACGGCCCTTGGTGTTCTCTTTCAAGGTAACACATTCTCAACATGACAAGCAGAAACCATACTGAGTTCTGATACGGGGTTTAGGAAGTGGTAGAAGCAAAAGTGAAAGTCTTTCTCTTTCCTTGCACGATAGGATTCCCTAGCCATAGATACCTTTTCTTCCTCCCTCTGTCAGAGTTCTTTGCATGTCCATTCTTTCTACATCACTGTATTTCCGCATAGTATTGTATTTGACGTGAATGTGCATTTTCCCTGTCCCCCACACTATGTTTTAATTGTCTCGGGGAAGAGAACTGTGTTCATTTTCTTTGTGTATATAGAATAATGCTTTGTACATATGGATACTCAACGCGTGGTGAATGCATGATTCACTCTGGAAAAGATTTCTCAATGTGACCACAACTCTTTCCTTTAGAAGCAATTAAGAGTACACTGAATTTGTTAATGAAGTATATTTGTAAGAATGAAAAATGTGGGCCCTCCCTGGTGGTGCGAGGAGTTAAAGTCCAGCACTTCGAAGCTATCTGCAGCCACTGCAGCACAAGTTCAATCCCCGGCCAGGGAGCTGACCCACATGGCGTGGCAGACCTCTCCTGACCCTCCCGCTGCTCCCCTCAGCAGTGTACTCTGTCAGTCTGCCTGTTCTGCTCCCCACTCTGTCTCTGGTGGATCCTCTCACCCACTGTACCCTACCCTAGTTCTGTATAAATAAACAAGTAAATAAATGTTAAAAAAAAATAGTGAAAAACTTGGAGCCCATGTAGATATCCAACAGAAATGGTTGGCTAAACAACAACTTTGAGATTAGCCACATAGATATATGGTTTACTCCTCAGAACAACCCTAATAGGGCAGGGTTATTCTCCCTGTTTTATAGGTGAAGAAGGCACAGCATGGTCTACTTGTCCCAGTTTTCACACCTAGTAATTGTTAGAGGACCTGGGACTTAAAGCCAGCACTCTGTCTTCAGAGTGTATGGGTTACACTGGAGAGATAAAATTGGGCACATCCAAGTTCATGGAATCCATGCTGTGGATTCCTACAGAAGGTGTGAGCAGCAGCAAGCCCTGGTATTCCATGACAAGGGAAAGAGAATACTAAAAGCAAAACAGGTTGTATGCTATCATTCCATTTTTCTTTTAAAGGTGCATATTTAAACTAGGAAAAAGACTAACAAGAGTTCACAAAGTATTGGCAATAACTCACTAGGAGGTAGGATTACCAGTAAATTTTTCTTCTTTTCTTTTCTGGTTTAAGGTTTCAAAAGGCAGGCAGGCTCTTCTCTCTGTAGGCAGCTGCCCCAGTCAGGAGGCTCACCCCACACCTGGCCAGATGCAGTACCTCTACCACCACACTGCCCCAGGGGCTCCCTCTTCGCTGCCCCTCCCACCACTCAGCACTAAATGCTCAGTGGGTTAAAGTGTAGCACTATGAAGCTGGCTGCAGCTGCCTTGGCACAAGTTCGATTCCTGGCCAGGGAGCTGACCCACACGGCACAGCAGACCTCTCCTGTCTCGCCCGCTGCTCCCGTCAGCAGTGTATTTCAGTCCTTCTGCCTGTTCTGCTCCCCACTCTGTCCCTGGTGATCCTTTCACCCCCGCACCTCTGGCCTGTATCCCAGTTCTTGTATGCATGCATAAATAAATCTTTTTCAAAAATGGACCTGCCAAACAACCCAGCAGTTCCACTCCTAGCTATCTACCCAAAGAGCACAAAAACACTTTTCTTTTTGAAAGGAAACCTGTCCTCCTTTACTCACTCAGCACTATTTACAAGAGCCAAGATATGGAAACAAACTAAATGTCCCAGAACAGATGAATGGATCAAGAAGACGTGATTTATATCCACAATGGAATACTACTCAGCGATCAAAAAGATAAATTCGTTTCATTTGCAGCAATATAGATGATGCTGGAAGGATTATGCTAAGCAAAATAAGCCAGAAGGAGAAAGATAAACACCAGATGGTGTCACTTACATGTGGAATTTAGAGAAACCAAACTAAGGGTCAGGTAAAGACAGACTTTAAAACCACCCTTTGAAAACTGACCATAGATCTGAGGCACCAGCATGAGGAGTGGAGAGTGGGGGGGAGAGAAGGAAAAAAAGAGGAGGGCTGAGAACAGGTGGGATGGGGGAAACTTGTGTGTGTCTACTATATGCTCTGACTCTACCTCCACCTGCCAAAGAGGCCACACCCATTTCACAGGTGGAAAATGGTAGCTACTGATTAACTTTCTTGCCCAAAATTGCAGGGTCAGTAAGTTATAAAATGAGGACTTAACCTGAAATCTATGCAAGCCCAGAGGCTGTGCACAATCCACTCCTACACAGGATGTTTGAGATAAGAACTAAAATGGAAGGGAGAGGAGAGAAGTTCAATAACAATCCCTTGCTTGACAATTCAGAGAGCAGTACTGACAAAGGTAGAGAGTAACCCCCTCCTTTTTTTTTTCTTTTTTTTGAAAGACCCTGCTAACAGCCAGCCCCCATCAGTACAAAAGAACCACCTCTGGCACAGCTCATCCCTGGATCACACTGAAAACTCCTCCTCATCTACTTGTCTGGGACAGATCAGCTCCCTGCCAACTCTCTGGGTTGTGGCTATATATTGCACTTAAGGAAAATTCTCCTGGCAGCTCATCCCCAATTTCATTCCCACAGGGAGACAGGAATACGTGGAATGTGAAGCGAATTCAATACCCATTCTACAGCAACCTCAAATTGCTGAGAAAATGACAGTGTGGTGATGGCTGCCCTTGCGACTTTCAGCAATCCTTCACCCCCAAAGACAGAAAGCAGCAAGATGTTGGATGAACTGATCGCAGGCAGGCTGTGCTGCTGAGAGAATTCTTACATCACTTGTAAGTCCAAAGTCTGCTGCTCTCTTTCTAGCTCAGCAAGTCAACAGTCCAGGCTAAGTCATGTAACCAGCCTGAACCCCCTGTTTACTCATCTGTAACATGGGACCACACGACCTCACTTCCTGTCACTCTTTGCAAAGAGAAGTAGATACCCGGAGAAGAGCTGAATCATTACAATTATTTCCTTATATGTATGGTCCTGGTGATATGTTAATGCCTGAAAGGATTTGCTCCAGTATTTGAGGTGCTCAAGGGCATCATGAAGGGAAAGCCATTCACCTGTGTCCTAGGCCTGCTGTTTAACACTTCTACTGAGGCAATGGTTTCAAACAACATCTACTCATTTCTCACAGTTTTGGAGGCTAAAAATCCCAACTCCAGCAGGCTGTGGCCCCCTTCCAAGGCTCCAGAGACGAAGCTACTCTTCTTTTGGCTGTCATATCTCCCTCTGCCTCTCATTTTAAAGAACATTCTTAAGGACATTCAGGGCTCAATGTGTAATCTAGAATGTCTTCACCTCAAGATTCTTAAATTAATGACATCTAAAAAACTTTTTCCAAATAAGATAACATCCATGGGTTTTGGAGAATAAGACATGGACATATTTGGGGGGGGGGGGTCATCATTCAACCTTCAAATTACCCCTAACTTACCAATGTCCCTTTCCTCTTGCTCTTTCTTCTTCTCTTTCTCCATTTATACCATAGAAACTGTGGACATGTGGTAAGACCCCAGTGGTAAATAAGTCCAGAGTAGTGCTGGCCTCCTGAAGGCACAGCTTGCCTTCAATACTCAATGTCACACTTAAAGCAACTCCCTGGTTAAATGCTATCCCCATTTAAATGAGAGAAAGTAAATGCCTGGAGACATTAAGTGACTTGGCCATACCAATTCAGCTGGGTAGACGTTTACCTGACTGATAAATCCCGCTTCCTTCTGCTACCCAGCCTTCCTAACTCCCTTGCCTTCTTAACTTTTCCAGGCTAATTCAACAGGTATTCACTGGAGCCACATGGGAAATATTCCTTCCTTCTCAAAGGAAGCTGGCAAAGTTCTTTTCAGTAGATATTGCCAAGTTTTCCTCTTCTAACCAGCTTTATACATGTTCTTTCCTCTCCTCGTATTCTTGGATGCATTGTAAGTTCTCATTTATCTTCAAAACATGATCCTGACAGTAAGCTTTCTCAGGCCATCAGAGATCAGCTATCATCTCTCTTATTCAATTCACAGCCCTCCCACTGATCTAACTCTTGGTAATTCAACTTTCCTTTGCTCTGTCAGCTGGAGTTCAGTCTAAGCTGTTTGCTCTCTCTGGGCCTAGTTCTTATCCGACTTATCTTTTGTCCATATTTGTGCCCTTGCTTATTCTTTCCTGAATGGTCGCTTTGCACATACCCTCTTAGAATTCCATACCTTTAATTTCCAGCTTGCTTTCCTACAATTAGATTAGAGATTTTTAGCCTTCAAAATGTCTGCTTCCTTTCCTGACATTGGTCGGGTTAACTCTTTCTAGACTACGCCGATAGGAAAAACTCCAAATATTTGCATTCTCAGAAATATATATATATATGTGTGTGTGTGTGTGTATATATATATATTTCCAAAGTCATTTAAATTTTATACCAATAACTGCTTTCAAAAGCCTATAATGTATTTATGGTGTTTTGCTCAATTGTACAATAATAATATTTGCGATGATAATTCAGAAAGTAAAACCCAAATGCCCTATAACTAATTACACTTGATACCAGAGGTAGCTTAGTCACTCTCTCTTTTAAGTTACTCAAAGACAATTTTCCAAGTTTCAAGGATGGGTGGGGAGAGAAGTTATAATCATTACCCACCCCCAACAGTGAGATCAATGCCCCCAAATGTATATAGGTAAAATTTTAGATAAAGCAATGTTGAGGGGCTGGCATGGCCCACAAAAACAATCTTAGTGATGATTATCATTAACTTGTCAAATGATGTCCATTCAGCAGCCACAGGGAGCCTGATGGAACCGAGAACTGGACAGGTTTTCAAGTATGACAGGACACTTCCAACCACGTCTTCATATGACCCTTCATAGAAAGAATTTAGGTCAAAGTCATAATCGAGACAAGTTCCATTCTTTCAAAGTTTATCATTTTGCCTTGTTACATATCAGATTCAAATTTGCTATCCTCGTGTTCACTCCAACTTAAGTAGATAGTGCTTTTTTGCAATAAATATAACCTTATTATTTTATGAGTCACCAACCCTTGGTAATCATTCTGTTTCTAAATTGACCAATGATGTGTATAAAATGGCACCCACATCAGCGTCTACTGTTGTGTAGTTCTGAGAATGTTGGTTTCCCATTCTGCACCCATGGGAAAGTGTACTTCCCAAAACCTCTGTATTTGGGTATTCTGTTCTTCTGACCAATGAAGTGTAAGTAGAAGTGGCATGTCAGTTCCAAGTCGAGGTGAGGAAAGTTCTGCTGTGATGCTGTTCCTCTCTCCCCTTCCACATACTCCTGATGTTATGGCTAACCCTCTGGGCATGTTTATCGGCATAAGCCCCAAGACTTAGAAGTGATGGCCAACATTTAACGTTGTATGCCCTAACAAGTTGGTGTAAATCCACAATTCTGTGTCTGGGATATGTGTATGATTAGAGATTTGCCAAGTCCTGATTTGTTGAATTGGTTTCCATCACAATCAGTATAAAGTCAGTCAATGATTCTAATTCCTATGAGGAGAGGTTGCAACCATAATGATCTTCTGATGTTGTGGTATTGAGACCATATACAATTTATGTAACATATGGTAGATTTTATTCTAGACAAATCAATGACAATATCCATTTCAGCTGATTCTATAGACAAACTCCCTTAAAACATATTTCTCTCTTAAAATCTGTCAAATATAAAGGTAGGATGATGCCTATTTTTATATTGAATAGCTTATGCATCTCTTCTTCTGTGTCTGAATCAAGGACATGTTAACAATTCCCAAGTAGGCTTGAAAAGTGTTTGGAATGTGACACAAGCTATACAACCTCTGTCGTCAGATACGGTCCGGATGGAGGGGAATTGCATCTTCAAACTGTTGTCTGAGTAACTCCCTGATAGATGGATGGTTTTAAGGGAGTCAGTTTCCAAGACCTCAGCTTTCATCTGTACTCTACCACATAGCACTGGTCGAGGGAAACCCAGCCAGAGGCTACTTTTCATTTCTCTTCTGACTTTACATAGCTTCCCCCACATGAAAGAAAAGGGGTGCTTCCTTCATCACCAACTCCCCACCATCCTTGCATGGACCATTTACCTGTTGTGAGTACCTTCAAGGCACCAAACAAAGTAATACTGGCCATACAGCTGTCTGGAAAGCTAGACATCACATCCCTCCAATTGTCCATCTTTTCAAGAACCATTTTTCCAAAGTCATTTAAATTTTATATCAATAACTGCTTTCAAAAGCCTATAATGTATTTATGGTGTTTTGCTCAATTGTACGATAATAATATTTGCAATGATAATTCAGTCCAAAAGAAATTTATAGTACAAAGCCTTATTGTCACAGGAAATTTTATAAATTTGAATCTATAAACCTTTTTTGTTACAGAGTACTATAATAATACGATCAATGAAAGACACTGAAGCATAAAAATACATTGTATAAGGTAAAATTTGATGGAGGAAATGGGATGGAAATATGTTTTCAAGAAGAAACAGAAATGATACAAAATCTTTGTTTTAAAAAAAGATCTTTTTTATATTTTTGAATGGATAATAGAAATTCACGAATAACTCTGGTGTTTATGTTTCATTGGAAACTTTTTAAGGAGTGAGGCAAACATTTTATTTTATTTTAAACTATCAAGATCTAGAAAGCCCCAGAAATTGCATCACTTAGCCATTTATCCTTATCATGAACACTTTCCCATGTCAACTTGAAAATGCATGAAGAGGCACAGATTTTTCCAGAACTCTCTCTGGGAGACATGCAAGTAAAGCCATGTGGTGACTCCCAGCTCATCACAGGCCACGGTATTGGGCGGCCCAGCCTGGGAGGCCCTGGCCTGGCCCTTCCTCTGAGCATCGGTGCCTGTTGGGGAAGCAGGAAGAGGAACTAAGAGCGGGTGATGGGCACAGCCGTGCAATCTGAGCAGCAAACGCACATCTTTGTTTCTCATTCTCACTCTGTCTTCTTCCAGCATGAATTTGAACAATTTGCCTCTCTTCTCATGGTTTTTCATCTTGAACTCCACAGAAAAAAAGAAATGTAGGACCTCCCTTGTGGCATAAGTGATTAAGTCTTGGCACTATGAAGCTCTCTGCAGCCCCTTCAGCATGGATTCCATCCCCAGCTAGGGAACTGATCCACATAGCGCAGCAGACCTCTCCTATCCTACCTGCTGCTCCCCTCAGCAGTGCATTTCAATAGACTCACCTGTTCTGCTCCCCACCCTGTCTCTGGTGAATCCTCTCACCACCTCCACACCTCTAGCCTGTACTCCAGTTCTTGCATAAATAAATAAAATAAATCTTTTTTAAAAAGAAAGAAAAAGAAATGCAGGCCACGTGATCCCAAAGGGTAGAGAGAACCTCCCTAGCAACTCAGCAATCTAAATACTCCTGAGGGGTCTTTTTGGACCCAGAATTGTTCACCTTTTAAGTATCTTTTTCAATCCAGGAAGGTCAAACAGAGCAGACACTAAGACTTCACTGCCAGTATCTTCCCTCCCAACCACCTGAAATTGAATGTTCTCAGCCTCAGTAAAAGAAAATGCTTTCACTTCTAACTTTCAGTCAGGATTAAGTGGGCAGATCTGATTCTGTCTTGTTTTTATTTACAGTCTAGAAATCAAAAGTGTTAGGTGTTAGAATGAACCATGGGTTCAGGGCTTGTATGTGTTTCTACCTATTGGTGTAACTTTTGCTATATCGCTTGGATTCTTTGCATATCAGTGCCCTCAGCCATACACCAGGGAAACCCACAAGGAGAAGGTTCTGAGTATAAAATGAAACAGAACTGTGCAATGCTTGCTAAGTAAATGGGGAGTCATATCAGGGTGTTTATTTCCAAGAAGGTGGAATTAGACATCGTTCTTGACACCCTGGGGTAAGTGCCTAATCATTCCCAAACTCACCTAAATTTCATCAACCACAATTCCAAAGCTTTCATTGTGGTCCTGGCAGACTCCTACTAACAAGACTTAACTCAAGAGTTATATCCTTGAAGCGCCCTTAGCTCCATCTGGGTGGGTGAGATGCCTCTTCCTCTGGACCCTCCAAGAGCCTTATATTGGCCTGTGTCAAAGCGCCAGTTGTATTGCTCATTATTGCTTATTTATCTGTTCACTTCCTGTCTTCAACTAGACTTTGAGTATGTCCAGGGTAAGAACCACGGTCTGCCCGCCTCTAACCTTCCCTTACCAAGAGCAGAGATGGACTCACAGTAAGTGCTAAGATAACATTTGATCGGTGAATGTTCTGTCCATCCCTGGAGGTGGCAGGGAGCTGGTCCAGAGGAATAAATTGCTAACGGTGCTGTTTCAGGAGCGTTGCAGGCTGGTACAGGAGATATTTCAGAAGCGGGAGACCTGCCCTACCTCCCCCAATCAGCCCAGGGAGGGCTGGCCTGGAGCTGGTGGCTAATGTTCCTGAAAAAGCTCCCTGGTAAATTACCCTGGAAGATTATCTTAAGGGGACCTTGCTTCTCCTGTCCTCTCATCATTTTTAGCGGGTTCCCTAGCCAAAAGGATTGCCACTAGAAGGCTAGGACTCTGCAGGGAAGTCTGAGACCTTATTTTTCTAGAAAGAGGCTCCCATGATCTGCAAGGGGCTGACAGTTGGCCACATCGACCATCACTCTCAACATCTGTCTTTTGCAATTTCCTACCTATAAAAGCTCTGTTTACTTACATAACATTCGCAAGCCTTGCATTTGCCATTGTCCCATCTGGAACACCTGGATTTTCCCATTTCCTTTCCCCAACATCTGTCTTTTACAAGCTCTTATTGACAAAAATTCATGTTTAGGAATTTCTTCCCTGAAAATACCAGGGGTCTGGACACCAGCAAGTTTCTGTGATGTTGGGTTGACTCTCTGGGAAGTAATTGAATGAGAAAAATCAGATCAAGCAATGCAAATGACCAAGCAATGCAAATGACCAACACCATGCAAGTCAAATCTGTTCCTACAATAACTGAAAAGAAAAGAGATACTTGAGGGGATATTAGTAACCACAGCCCAGCTACAATACCCTATGAAGCAGGGTCCAGCTATCTCAAGAAGCAGCTCCTGAATCATAGCTAAAGAATTCTCTTCTTTTATGCTCCTTTGATCAAGCCCCCTCCTAAAATTCATTGTTTTTTTTTTTTAAAGATTATTTATGCACACAGAACTGAGGTACAGGCCAGAGGTGCAGGGGTGGTAAGAAGATTCACCAGAAACAGAGTGGGGAGCAGAACAGGCAGACTGACCAAGTACACTGCTGAGGGGAAACAGGAGAGGTCTGCCGCGCCTTGTGGGTTACCTCCGGGGCAGGGATCGAACTCACACT